TCAGTTTTAGATTGATATCTTTGTTTTGACTTATTCTATAGTCCTACATGTGTTTAGGTTTCCATTCGAGGATATTTGAAATGGATCCAATCGAATATTGAGTTTTATGAGGCAGTGTCATGTATAATTGTCCACAATTAGATGTATTATTTTTTTTCTAAAGCTGAATCGTATCGATGGGTCATATCAAATTGTGATATATATAAATTTATGCTGATTGTTTGTTAGATATTAATTGAAAAAAGCAGGCTAAGGCTTCTTGCATTTTCAAGGTGAAAAAGAACATGCATTCTAAATTTACTTTCCATGTTCTTTGGTTTTTAACCATACACAACTACTTCTTCGTCTTCAAGGAGAATAGAAAAAAAACACTTGCAGTGAATTGGTCATTCAATGTCATAGAAATGTAAAAAGCTTTTCACACTGCAGAATATGATGATGTTTACTATGGAAAGATCCATTTCCATCAGAAATAGCTATGTCTATGTTGAGAGTACTCACTTCATGAAGATTTCCGTATTGAGAGGTGTTTACAGCGAACAATTTTCCACTGTTCGACTTTTATGCAATCACTTTTCTTACGCTAGTATATGGTCATTCATTAAGAATCGTATGTGAAATTAATTTTTTCAACTAAGTTGTTTCGTTGTTTTTATTTTCAATGCATCGAGAATACTACTATTAGATGTTCTTTATACCAAAATTTCTGCTCTCATAAGATATTTAATTTGAAATCTTACCGTCTGATTACTGCAGACAAATCAATGCCATCAAAATATATAAATCGTGTTCTTACCTTCTTGCAGTTACACGTCAAGAGAAATGAAAAAAAATATACACATGCGCCTTTTCTAAAGGGGCAAAGAGAAACATACAAGCGTTACTTCAATGTCTTACAATACTCCTAATAGAAAAAAACAGAAATAGGTGGAGAGAGAAAAAAATGAGTAAAAAATAAAAAGAAAGCAATAGTAACGTACATTTTGAGGACTTCATTCAAATGAACTAATCAATTGACTCGTCACATATCACAATCGTTTTCGAAATGTTTTGCTTCATCGAATCCCACATAGCAAGTGCTCAACAAGAAGTATTCTATAAAATCATGAGTAATTTATCAAAAGTTAATACAGAATATGGATCAGAAACCAAAACGAGTGATTTCAATACGAATGACACGACTAACATGGATTTGATCAACAGTTTGTTTCAACATTTCGATCATTGGTGCATCTCATTATAAAGAAAGAAAAATGTAAAAAAGCTAGAGACTAATTCACCAAACCATATAAACATGCCACCAAGAAAAATAAGGCAGAAAAAGAGCAAAGAAAAGAGACATGAAACGAAATGCAGTGAAGACTATGAGAAGAATGATTTAACAATGGAAAAAGAACGCATAAAATAACAAAAAAAAAAAAAGGAATTTTCATTTGCGTTACACATTTGGTTCGATATTTTTGTTATTGTATCTTAAAAATGAACCACTCAGGTTATGTTAGGCCTAGATTCGACTCTTTTTACAGCCGACTAGTCTAGAAACATGTTCTAACAGTAATAATTTCATTGATTCCACGAACAACTCGACGAGCTCTATCTGATGCTGAAAATCATTTATTGACGTATTTTATAATAACTATGAAAAATCGAAAATATTATTTGTTTTAATGCTGCTCAATTGATATTCTCGACGTTAATTAATTTTCGCCTGTGTGTAGACCCAAGTTAGATGTGAAAACGTCAAAATTTTTAGCTTTTAAAACCGTTTGCTTGTGAAGATATTTAATCTACAACAGAGGTATCATCAGGCAAAAAAGTGAGGATAACCAATGCAGTATCGATTCATTGTATATTCTGCCATTTTCCAATAATGTTGTTTTTAGTCATGAATTGAGCATAATTTACATTCGACTCTCAGAGAAGTTCCTCAAGTAATGATGGATATTTCAACTAATTTTTTAATTATATCATAGAGATAAGTGTTTGATGAATTTCTACATCAGTCGTTCGAAAAGAATATTGTTTGGTTCTTGTAAAAATTAAGTTTCTTTCGTGATTCTCTTCCATTCTTTGAGACATACATATTTTATTGTAGATTTGAACAACATTAAAATTTTATGAGGTAACGTATGGGAATCATTCCTCGTCTATGAAAGTAAGGTTGATATGTTCTTGAAGTATCAATTGGGAATTACGAAGTTATGTAAGAAATGAGTTCAACTGTTAGAGAATGAAATAGAGAGTCATATTGAAAGAGGAGCTTCAAAATAGTCTTTTTTTCAAGAATAAAATATTGTAGTCAGAAATCAAAGATCATCTACTCATCGGTTAAAGGAACTCTAAAAAAGTACATACAGAATTCTTTACGCTGACCTCCAAAGGACTAATCGATTTTATCTCTTACAGTAGTCGCAAGAAGTCCGACTAATCGAAAAAACAATTACATGAGCATCAATTTTTTTGTCTGAGATTTTCAAGAGAGATACAGCTCAGTAAATATTGATCGCAAGGAGTAAATCGAGACCCATTGGCCTTAATGCCAAGGATTCACAACAAATATATTGAGTTTTTTTTTCTCTAGAATCAAAATAAGACTTCTTGACACTTTTCTGATTTCTTACTATATAAATGGATTAACCTTCATTTTCTTATTATCAAATAAGGACTCTCATGTCTATGGTATGTGAAAGATAAGGTACTTCAATCCGATATAATCTTATAGTATGAGGAAGCCTTTAGTTTTTGTAATGATCTCAGCATGGATCGTTTCTGGATCGATGACAATGGTTGTAGAATTCTGATGGAAAACTTGATTAGAAAAAAAACATTCATTGAAAAAAATTTTAAGACAAATGGTTAAAACTATTCGAAAATATAGGTCAATATTTGACCATTCTCATCAATTTTCATATGGAAAATGAGCTGTTGAATAACAGGTTTTCTATATTGAAACGTTCTTATCTCAAAAAAAATGTATGCAGACATTTCTACTCTTCCACATAAAAGTTTACCAAGTTCAGATTAGCTTTTGCAACTAGATCTATTTATGACCAAACTATGAAATAAAATTCTTAAAGTTTAGATACTTTTTACTTATATATCATCCAAAACAAAATATATGAAGTTAGTTTAGAACTCAATACACATAAAATAGAAAAAAAATATTTTCTCATAATTCATTTTCAGTCCAATAAAATAAATATTTTATCGATCATAATATATGCTAAAGATAAGTCGAAACGAATAAAAATAAAGTTCCATCACAATGTTAAGTCGTTTTGATTGTAATTTCTTTCTCATCATCATCTTCTTCTTCATTTTTCGAAGAACCACGTAAAAAGTAAGCACTAGCAGCAAGTACAACTGCCATGAATACTCCAGTTGCGATTGATCCTCCAACTGCTACTTGTACCTCAAATAATGAATTTCGTTCTTTTTTTTTGTTTGTTTTTAATTTCAATACTAAATGAATATTCTTACTTGACGAGAACTTGCTTGACCATCAGTGATGGGATCGGTTCGGTTTCGAACCGAACCGAGCCGAACCGAACCGAACCGAAACCGGTTCGGTTCGAAATTTTGAAAAATTCGATCGGTTCGGTTCGGTTCGGTTTGAAACTTTTTCGGTTCGATTCGGTTCGGTTACGAAGTATTCGGAACCGATTTCCATTCAAATATATTTAACTTTGTTAGAATGCTCTGAAATTACATCTTTATTTCTTATTCTTTTCTCCTATTATTTCTCTCTCCCTCTTTTCTCTCCTACTTTTCTATTCGGCCGTCACAATTTTAATAAATTATCACTCTTTTCTTCTGTTCTAAATGTAAAGGCATTCCAATAAAAGAACACATTGGACGTCATCTTCTTTATATAAGATGGTCTAGGCTGGAGTAGAGGATATTTATTCATCTCTCTCCTTGTATTTCACTTATATATTTCTCTCTCTCTTATATATGAAAATACATGTATATGTAAAAGAAAAAAGAAAAGGAAAGATAATAATTTGAATAAAATTGAATTTCGGCTGAATTGAACCGAAGATTTTACAAACATCAAGTTTCATTACAGAGAAAGGGATCTGTAACAAATATATATACTAAGAATGGATAAAGAAAGTGTAGCAAATTTCTTATTTTTACTCGACTACTCATTAGTTTCAGTCAGTGCGTCCTTTTACAGACTACATTTCCGTATGAAGTGCCCATATATATATAAGTATCAATTAATTATCATGTTCTAATAATTCTTAGTTGATAACGATAACATTACTTTCTTTTTAAGGTTCAAGGAATATATAACCATGAACATTTAAGTTAAGAAAATATCACCAAAATGATATTTCGAAATAGATCGATAAGTAAAGCCTAAAAGTGTCATTGGAATTGTCCATTTTCAAATGATGGGTAGATTATTTCTCTCAATTTTAGGTTCTCTTTGTCATGTAAGTCTTGTAAGTTGAGAGTAAAACTGGATTTAATAAGGTGGTAAATACTTATTATAAAGTATTACTTAATATTGTTCTATTAAAACGGGTGTATCATATAAAATGTAGATCCTATATATCTGCACTGAGCGACGACAAAAAAATACTTTGAGCGGCTTTTGATTAGCGGAATAAATTGACTAACTACTGAAAATAAACTAGTCTTCTATCATCCGAAATTTCTTTTATTCTGAAAACGAAAATACCCATGTTCTTAACATTATTTCTACTACAAATTTCTAGTTCGTTTTTAAAATTATTAATGACGTTTTAAGCATGTCTTCAATAAAGGTTTTTAGAGGAATATTCTTAGAAAAAAATAAAAACTTTTAAACCTTCTTTATCTTAAGTTTCGAATTCGGTTCGGTTCGGTTCGGTTCGGTTCGGTTTAAAACTTTTTCGGTTCGGTTCGGTTCGGTTCAAAGTTTTGAAAAATTCGATCGGTTTGGTTCGGTTCGGTTTGAGATTTTTTCGGTTCGATTCGGTTCGGTTCCAAAAAAACACGAACCGATCCCATCACTGTTGACCATAACGACAATCAGTAGCAAAATGTTCACAATTACTATATAATACATTATAACCTTCTTGGTTAGTAGCACTGTGAGCTTTTTCAAGAATTACTGTTACAGGTAATGGTCTGAAACAGAACAGAGAACTGTTAATTGACATAATCAAATATTAATTTAACTGTGGCAAATAATATTTAAATTTATTAATCAAAAACCACAATTAATAAAATATATTGCTAATTATAAATTCTATTCAAACAATCAGAGATTTAGTTTTATTGTTTATATGCAAACAATAAGATTTTAATAGTTATTTTCATTATCTTAATATTCTATCAAGTATTTTATACGTGTTTGTTAAGCAAATAGTTTCATAAAGAAAGACACAGAATTCATATTTTCATATTCTTTATTTACTTTTAATTTCCAAATTATGATTGAAATTCTCATTATGAATTAATAAGCAAAAGAATTTGGTTTTTTTTTCGTGGTTCTTATAACTCATATGTTCAAAAGAGAGTCATACATGATATTTGCTCTTGAGTTTTGATTCGTAATGGATTTACCTATCGGTTTTTCAATGTAAGATAATCAAATAATACTACTATCTAATATTCAACATGATTTAATTAAAAAATATTTAAAGTAGTATCCTGCAACTGGGTCGGGTACTCAATTTAGCCTTGAATATCAGTCCGAAATTATCGAAATTGATATGAATTTTAAATTGCTGTTTATGAAAGAAACTACATCGTCGGTTCAGATCCGACAACTAAACCTATAATTATTTAACTAATCGAGTGAATATTCTATTTCAGTGAATTGTTTTTTTTTTTTCTTAGTCCGAATAAAGAAAATTAAAGAAGAGATAATTATTAAGTTATGTTTTAAATATTTAAATAATGCTAGTTTTTGGAATATCTGAAATAAAAATCTATGACATCTTATTTAGAAGTTGTTAGTTATTTGGTTAAGATAAAAAATTTTGATTCGAAAGATAAAAATCTCTTTTTTTTTTTTTGTCTTCTATAACTTGTCTAATATGCATTAAGTCTACAAGATTATCTTGTAAATCTTTTTTGATTAATGACATACTTCCATTTTGAATCAAGATAATTATTAATACGAATTTTACCACCATATTTCAGTACATCAGATATCTTTGATTTAGTTATTTTAGCTTTGTTAAATTGTACACCAAAAATAGTCGTTACATTTCCCCATACACCAATTGTTTGTCCAATACCATCATTATCACCCCATCGATGAATGACTTCATTATCACCTAAAATCGATTCTTTATATTAAGAAAAGAAAAACAATTTATTTACCAATGTAAATTGCCCAATGACTATAAAGAGTTCGAATAAATTGTATCATATCTCCTGGTTGTGCTTTTTCAAGAAAATCTTGATTTATTTTCCAATTTTCTGCATCCGTTATTTGAGACATAATTAATCATGTAGAAATCTAACAACAAATATACAATAATATATATGCTTCTTTGTTTTTAGTCGATATATAAAGTTAATTTAGGAATAAATTGATATTCACTTCCTAATGTGAGTCATTTAAATTTCAAATAGATTACATGAGAAACCAATAACAATATGATTGTCATGTGATTTTAATCTTTCCAAGTTTTATGAAATTTTTTTTTTTTTTTTTTTTAGTATGCGATAGATGCCGACAATTTCATACTCTTTTTAAGAACAAATAAAGCATTATTAATGTTCTATCTTGTCCTATGTCATAAATATCAGTATAAAAAAAACCTAAACGACAATAATGACAGTGTCAATTAATATTTTCTTTTTTTCATTTTTTCTCTTCTTCTAGATCTATCAGCAGCAACAGTAATGAATGATAGACCATTCAAAGATGGCATAACATTCCAATAGTACAAAAAAAAAGAAAGAAAAAACATGAAGAACAAAATAGAGAAAGAAGAGAGAGAAAAAAACAAAAAAAAAATTACACATAGAAATAAAACACACACACACATAGGCATATACATATGAAATTGACTTGCGTACTATCGATTGTTCTATTCTCTATCCATAAATTTTTTTTTTTGTTCTGACCGAGAACCAGCTCGATTATGATTGATATATATTGCCTATCTATAACTACAAATAATACAACTGTATCAGCAGCAGCAGCATTATTATTATTATTTGTTATAATCTTAATAGAAAAACGAAAATATAAGTCAAAATATTGACAATAATAGTTGACCAAACTGATGATATAATAGATATAGCTGATGCCGAAATAAATGTATTATTTGTATAATTGAATATTGAATTATTGATAGATAAAGGTAATAATGATGATTCTTCTGATGGAAAAGGCAATGATAAATGTTCAATTTCAAAACATGATAATCTAGTTACATGATCTTCGTTAGTTTCTATCAATAAAGATTTATTTAATGATGACGAAGTGGAATGATGTTGACATGGACCATCAACTAGATGACATGTATCAAAACAATATGGTGGTTTTCCATAATCACTGTTTGGTACAATATCTCCTATATTAAGATATAAATAAAAAATAAAATAAAATATTTATTTCAATCTAGTCATTAGATGTTAAGTTTTTCTTTTTTTCATATCTTATCATTGATTCTGTGTTTTATGATTCTATTATCTTTTTTAATGCTCATCAAAATTCTGTTGATGTCATAATATGTAACAAATCATTTTGCTATGCTATTGAATGTCACATTGAAAAAGTAATATAAAGCTAGAATTGATCTATCATAAATCATTAATAAAAAAATAAATAATCTTGATTAAACGAACGGATGATGTGATAATAGTGTCAAGTATACTTATAAAATATTTTTACAAGCTATATTTCCAAAAAAAAAAAAAATAAAGAACAATTTTCTATCTATAGATTAAAATCTATTCAATGTATTTTAAGCCGATTATGAATGATACAATAAAACATCAAGGTTTTTTTTTATTAATTTGTAATATTTGTTTTTTTAGATATAATATTCATTATCCATATGTCATATATGTGGTAAAACACTCATGTAATTGCTCAAATCTATTGTAAATTCATCAATAATTGTAAAACAAAACAAATAGAATATCATCATCAGATAAGATCTTTTGTTTTTTTCAGTACACTTATGAGAGGAAAAATGTAAAGAAAAAAAATATATATTAAGAATCTAATTACCATCGCAAAAGAACAATGGTTGTCCGGCAAAGAATGGTTCACGATCACTGGGTCTAAATGTGGGACAAATACGCTCGACTTCATCACAGATCTTTCGACAAGGCGATATACGATGATTTTGATAAAAATATGGAATTTTGACTGAACAAGCCCATTTTTGATAAGCTCCCTAAAAATATTAAAATAATAATTATAATAACGATTAAAAAAAAAAAAAAAGAAATATTTTTACTTGACAATCGGCATTGATTATTGAATAACGATTTTCGATTGATGCTGAATCGATAGCTTGCATATAAGTAGCAAAAAGTTTTGATGCATAACGAGCTTCTTTGTCGTTTGAAATTAATTGATTGAGCATTTCTCGACATTCGTTTTCTGTTATTTCGTTGAAAAAATTTGTTTGATTTATCGAATAATTTAATGTATAATTTGAACAAAATGGTAAATAATATGAATTTAATAATAATTGATTGATATTGTCTAATTTTTCGTATGGAGTTTTTTGTGCACAACATGTTTTTGAACATAAACGATCGATTTGTAAATGATCTAGTGGTAAACATTGTTGTTCGTCCTCTTTGATTATGGACGGCGATAATTTTGGACCAAATGTTGTTGTTGTTGTTAATGCGTATGTTGACATGAGTTTTATTGAAGATAAGGAAAAAAATATTATTGACCAATGAAGATGATTGATTAGGATAAGCAATGTGAACATGTAGGTGAGCAAATGTTTCACTAAACATTGCTGCGGCCGATAACGGCGCCGACAATAATAAGTTTTGGAATTAGTAACTATCGATAATGAAGATTTAATAGATAAAAAATTATATTCAAGTTCTTTTATTTGTTGATAAAGATGTTCATATTTAAGAATTTGAATATCATCATCACCATCATCAGTGACGAGAAATAAAGACATAGCACAGTGCCACCTTGTACATGGCTAACCTAAGCAAATAAATATTGATAAATATTAGAGCTATTTTTATGACAATATTTTTCGTAAGAATAAAAAATAGGAATATTCCAACAAGAATGTGCAATATTTAGAAATGCTTTCATATACAAGATGCAAAAACATTTAATGAGATTTCTTGACAGTAGAAATCTCGATGCGAATAATGTAACATTAGAAGATTCAAAACAATAGTCTTTACCAAGTTTAATAAGTGTAACTAATCAATCAAAATCGACTATGTTTTAGTTTGAGAAGACATCAATTAGATCTATAAAAAAAAATTGATTAATTTATACGATTAGTATTAGAGAATAAGATTGACTCAATAGATTTTGACATAAATCTCGAAGGAAATGTATCACTTGTTGAGTTTTTTTTTTTTTTTTTTTTCTTGTAATAACTTTTTTTCTTATTTACTGATATTCTCTTCAGAATTGAGTTTCTAATATGTTTTATATATATTTAAAAAATCTAAACTTGGCATTATAAACGTTTACAGAATTTTACTCAGTATGAATAAATTGATAGATACTTAATACTGATAATTTCCGGAAAAAATTGGTTCAATGAACTTTCCATTTTGTAGTTATTAGAAGTTAAAAATCTTTATTAAGATTTTTGAAATATTACATGTACACATTTATAATTTTTGCTATCATGAACATATCTGTCAAATCTTGCAAAACTTATATATATATAGATGTCACTAATGAATTGAATATCTAATTTAGAAATGATAGAATAGAAAATGATTATTGTCTTCCTTTGTAAATAAAAAGAAATGATCTTCTCAGAATATAGAAGATAATTATTGCTTTAAGATTTAGTTATTAAACGTATCCGGTAATCTTGTCAATAGGCTATGAGTTCACATATGTCAAATAAAATTTAGCACGATCTAATTTCTTTCGTTTTTTTTTTTTTCTTTTTAATTAATCTTTGAAAAAGAAACAAAAACAAATGAAAAAAGAAAGAATTTTTTTGTCTAGTAATATTTTCATACCCTCGATATGTTTGACAAAATCGATTTGTGATTGTTGATCTTGTTGTTGAGCATCCATCTGCAAGCACCGATGTCATCGAAACGTTCGATATTTTATCATATATCTTTATTGTATTCAATCGAATATTTTATCTAGAAAAAAAAAACCATAACTATTCAAAAATAAAAGAAATATAAAACATAAGTATTTGCTATAGTATTGAAAATACTTGTTGTTTTTCTTTTTCAATATGTATGTATTTGATCATCATCAAGTCACATTTCAATTACTAACCATATAGTTACTCTTATTGCATACAACGGGAACTAAATTGCAGAAACACGTTCTTTCTCTCTCTCTCTCTTTGTGTCTCTTTAGTAGCCACCACTACCGCTGATGATGCCTCTACTTTTATCGTGTCTATTATTATTATTTTTTTGTGCGCTCTTTCTCTCTTTCTTTTTCATTTTAGTTCTAGTAGTCCCAGCTGCTACGACGACTAGGTTTTCTTTTTTTTTTCTGTTCTCTTTTTCTCTGTCGTTTCTTTTTTTTCTGTCTATACTAACGCTATTTTCTATTAGTAAATGCACTGCTCTACTGACTGGCTGTTACAACGAGAAACATAAGAATGAACGAACATTTCGCGTCATTGTACGGAAAGAGAGAGAAAGAGAAACAAGAAGACTACCGCAGTGCTCTCTTCCCGATACAAAGACTCGAGCGTCCTGATGCTCTCTTTCTTTGTGATTATTCTATTTCAGGCACCGGGCCTATTTCCCTTTCCTTATCGTATCTTCTTCCCTCTTCACTTTTTTTTTTGAACTGGACATAAACAGACAATTCTTATAAATTGATCGAACAATAATAATAGATGTGGAAGATTAAATAAATATTTATCAAAAACATACAATGAAAGTATATGAAAAAAAAACACTGACAACAATAACAAGAAAAAACATAACATATAGACGCATATACAAGTTATAAACGCAATACGATCATTGGATATTCTCTAGAGATTCAGACCATATTCACTACCGATGTTGCCTTCATCGTGACCGTCTTACTCAAGCTTTCCAATTCCTTGACATGTTCTTCTTTCGCTCTTGTCGATGTAGCGTCTCTTCCCCCCCCCCCC